CCTCTCAAAATGGTTGAATATAGACGTTCTTTTTGCTGCAGTGACTCTGTGTATTCCTTTCATCATCTTTTGATGCTTCCAGCTTAATTCAATATTATAGAATCGTTCAATATCACCACTCAAGGCTTGATGTTGTTCTTAAAATTTTTCAACTTGAGATATGCTGAACATGTTCTTCTCTTTTTGTTTTCTAATTCCAAGTTTTTGCACATTTCATTATAATGCTTTACTTTGTCTTCTTGAGCTGCATTTCATTTTTCCTGCTCAACTCTTTTATGTCATCACTTCTACCATTTGGTTTAGCTACTGTACATTCAAGAGCAAGTTTCAGAGTCTCATTTGATAGCCACTTTGGTCTTTTCTCTCTTTTAACGACCTTTTGCTTTCTTCGTGTATGATATTCTTGATGTCATCCCACAGATCTTCAGGTCTTATATCATTCGTGTTTAATGCATTGAATATGTTATTGATATGTTTGTCATGTGGGATTCACTCAGGGTTGTCTTTTTGACTCTGCTGGATTTGTTTTAATTTTCTTCAGCTTTAACTTCAACTTGCATATGGGCAATTGATTATCTGTTTCACAGTTATCCCCTGGTTTTGTTTTGGTTGATGATATTAAATGAGATTAGTTGTCTCTTCCCTCAGATGCAAAATTTTATGATGAGCTCTCCAGTCTTATTTTGTCACCAAGGCCATATTTTCCAACTACTGATTCTTCCTTTTTATTCCAACTTTTTCATTCCAATCACTAGCAATTATCAGTGCCTCTTGATCGCAAATTTAATTAATTTTAGAGTGAAGAATTTGGTAGAATTCTTTCATTTCTTTCTTACTGGCTTTAGTGGTTTGTGTGTAAATTTGAATAATCGCTATATTAACTGGTTTTCCTTGTAGGCCTATGGATATTATTGTATCACAGACAGCATTGTACTTCAAGACAGATCTTGAAATGTACCTTTGTGGTAGGGAATGTGACACCATTCCTCTTGGATATGTCATCCCTGGTGTAGTAAGCCATGTGACTGCCTGTTGCATAATTGTTGATATCAGTCTATTTCAGCTCACTAATACTTAAGATATTGATCTTTGTGTATTTCATTAAAATTTTTTTTTCAAAAAAAATTTTTTTTTTTCAAAAAAAATTTTTTTTTCATAGTAGTATTTTTTCTAATAGGACAAATCTAAAAACAACTCAAAAGTGTATTAGTGGAAAAGCACCAAAAACAAACATTAAAACTCCATGGATCACATGGGTGAATTAAAAGAAAACACATATTGACCCATAGAAAAAAAACACAAAAGAGTACATACAGACAGTTTCGAATGTTATAAAATCCCAAACCAGGCAAAACTAAAGCATATTGCTTAGGGATGCATTATAAGTAACAAAACTCTAAGGCAAAACAAAGCTGCCATTGACATAATATTTCTACAGTGGTTACCTACATGCATGGGAGAGCCAAGGGAGGAACTTGGAGGTGAATTCTGGTTATATGAGTATTTGTATTTCATTTTCATTTTGATGACTTCCAATTTTCCTAGGTTCATACTTCCTACTCTCCATGTTTGTTCTCATTTTGAGTTGTTCCTCATCAGTAGGTGGCAGCTCTGGAAGCTTTACTCCATACATGTCATTAAGGCTCACTCTCCTTTGAGGAAGCAGCTCTTTCCCAGCCTTATTCTGAGTGCCTTTCAACCTGAGACATATAATCTTCTGGCACTATATGAGTCAATATTTGGCTATTGCTTATAAGACTTTCAGTGGCCAAGTCTGCAGACATGGACCTCATAAGCCTTCCTTTTAGCTTGTTCCTAGTCTAAAAGCCCAAATGAACCCTGTTCACCAGGGTCAACACTACTGGTATTTACAATACTAGTGGCATAGCTTCCAGTAGCCAAGTAACACGCAATCTATCACGATACCACAAATTGACCAGACAAGTGATGGTAAAATATCCTAGATGAGCTCAAACTTGAGGAAATTAAGTGATCTTATTCCTTTCTTCTTTTTTCTGTGTCATATCTTGTAAATAATTCCACAACTGTATCTCTGGATGTTTTGTTGTTTCTTCATTTATCTTTTGTAGTTGGCTGGGTTGATTAGAGGAGTAAATCCAGTGACACTCATATAGGTATAAGAAAGAGTCTTACATCATGAAATAATTATATATCAAGAAAACACCCCAGCCCAGCCCAGATGAAGTCCATAGTTCAAATCTAGTCCATAAGTTCCTCTTCAAATTCATGCGGCCACAGCGATGATGCAGAATGCAGGGGGATCGCAGGCCAGTGGGTGCTGCGGATCATGCAGCTCCAAGGCAGGGCTCCAGCACTTCAGACAAGTGACAGAGGGGGCGGGGGAGGGTTCCAGGGTTCTCTTTATGAGAAGGCCTCAGCCCCAAGGACGCTGCAGTAGGCTGTGACCTGATTGACAGGTTTGAGTCCATCCCTAACCAGGACTTTCTAGTTGACATGAAATCATGTGACTACTGTATCTCTCGCTGCCATCAAGTCAATGCTGACTCATAGCACCCCCTATGGGCTTCTGAGATTATAACGGTTTACTGGAGTAGATAGCCTAGTCTTTCTCCCGTGGAGCTGCTGGTGGTTTCGAACTGCTGACCATGCAGGTGACAGCCCAGCACCTAACCACTACAACACCAGGGCATGACGACTAAATCTAGTATAGAGTTAATTGCATTCTGTACTGTGTAATGTGAACTGTGTTGTAAAATACTTTTCTTCCTCCCAAGAGCATACATTATTTAGTGCTCTTACTGTAACACATTGATAGTCAGTGGTCAGGAACTTAGAGTGTATGTCTCTTTCTCACTTCTTAAAAAGTCAGAAGAATACCTTGTGGAATTGTGTTGTCATTTAATTTCTTCTTTCAGAGTGGACCTTGTCTACACAAATGCATTTTTGTGACATAGTAAAAAAAACAAAACAGTATTCATGAAAATTTAATTGTCATTATTTGCTTTTAAAGGCTTCTTACCTGTGGAAAAATTATATTTTATAATCCTGAACATGCCCTAAGACAACGGGCTTTTTATATTGTTTAAGATGTGTAACTTCTGACATATCACAATAGTTAACAGGAAAATTCATTTATCTTGGTGTTCTTGAACATATTCTAGTAGTCAGCATTGTTGTAGTTTCTATGGGATTCAAGAGCAATGTATTCAATCTAACAAACATTTAAAAATACCCATGTATGCTAGACTTGGTACAGTGAAGCTACAATAAGTATACGAAGATGAAAACAACACAGTTATAAAGATTTGTCCAGCTGTTGGAGAATACATAAATTAGATATTGGAATGATATATCATATTGGATGTTATAGACAAAATAACATTTACTATTTGTTAATTCACTTAACAACAACCCATTCCAGTGCATACTGTAGTAATTTAGTAATTCTTTAAATTTGACATACAAATATAAAATTCTTTAAATATTTTATGTTGATTGATATGTAAAACTACTAAGGTTTAAAAATTTTTAATTTCTGATTTATTTAAGGAATATAATTGTTAACAGGTTGTTGTTATTAGTTGCCATTGAATGGATTCTGATTTTGGATGACACTTATATGTGTCAAGTAGAACTCCTCCATACGGTTTCCAAAGTGACCTTTTGGAAGGAGATCACTGGGCCTGCTTTATGCGGTGCCAGTGGGAGTGTTGAAACTGCCAGCCTTTTGCACCACGGTCTAGTCCTTACCTGATCGCACTTCCAGGGAGTCCTAAAGGACTATGTATTTAAATTAGTATTATTTCTGTGGGTGTCTCTGTGCATAAGATCCTCATGAGTATGTTTACGACGAGTGGCTTATAAAATTAGATTTGTTATGTCATGCGTTACTTTTAGAACTCAATGTGTCAATAACTAATAGAAAAACATTTTACAGAGAGGTGTATTATATTTTTATCCAATTAATAATTTCTACATTATGTATAACTCCCAGAAGTATGGGTTTCTAAGTATGACTCCTGTGTAAAATTTAAAACTTATCATCCCTTTGACACATGTGAAATAAAGGGATGAAGGCCAATCTTTAGAAGGTTTCTCTGAGAAGGATCTTTACAACATAGTAAACCACTGGTTGACACCTTGTTAGCCAAGGTGGCTGTTCAGTATTAAATCACATGTATTCTTGCAATTCCAAAAAACTTTTTATTGGCCACATTTGCTCTTTGTGCTCATGATGTATGTAAAGATTTAAATGAACTCCAACAGCAGAAGCTCTTGAAATAATCTCTTCATACATGTCCTCTTACATGGATAGTATCATAAGACAAATACGGCTGGATTACAACCCAGCTAGCAGAAGGAAAATGAAATTACACAACTTTTATTAAGGCATAAATAAACCTATTAACTGTTATCTGGAATGCCAATTAGTAGAAAGAGCACTGACAATTTTATTTATCAACATTAAACACAATTATTAATTACAAACCTGACGCATCTAGCAGTAAGCAGGCTGTGTTGGATATGCTGGGACCTTAGGTCCATTATATGAGAGGAATGATTACCCAAATCCCGTGGGGAAATAAATAATTGTAGTTGTTAGATTTTAATTGCTTCGGAATAAGGCAGTTTATATTTTCTTGTCGGAGCATGTAAATAGTGTGGCATTAAGGTAAGCGGCTTCAGGAGCCGTGAACAGGAAGTGGATTTATGTGTGGTTCTAAAACGAAAGTGTGATGAATGTTTAGCGGGATGGTGTTCAGTGTGAACGACACACTGTTCATGAACGCGCTCACAGACTGTTCAGGGGGTGTTTAGCAGCCGAGCCCTTTTTTCTGTATTTGCTTCCTCACAATGAAAATTAATGCGGGAGGGGACATAGGAATGAATCACTACAGGCGAATGGGAAGTGTGTCAGGGAGAAAGCGCCTTCATTGTGTTGTGATCGGCATTGCTGTGAAATGAAACAAGAGACCACTCACATTTTTGTCCATCTTTTTCAAAAATTTCCCCTGAAGATCCGAACTCCAGAATCTGTGGCCATTTACTCATAGGGGCAGCCAAGAATTCATTTGCAAAACTCATGGATAAGATCAGGCTGGCGATGGAGAATATACCTCTGCGCAGTAGGAGCATTACGTACGTTGAAAAAGACTCCCTGGTTCAGAGGCTGGCCCGGGGGCTTCATAAAGCGAACACGCTGGCCCTGAAGCACGGTCTGTGCGGTCACGTGCCCATCATGGTACGTATGCACGTTGATCTACTCGTGACCTCAGGGTCTACGATGGTTATGCACCGATGTATTTAGATTGCCAGAGAACTTTTAATGCAGGAAGTAGAAACACTGCCAAATAAAATGTCTAAAATCTCAAAACACAAACCTTCTAGCGTTAGTTCTGATGTTCCTGTTCTCCATAAGGGAACCGCAGCAGAATGGTCCGAGGCACAAACAGCTGTCCATTCCATTTCCTAGCCATGTAGATTATTTCTTGCCTTAAACCGTTCATTTCTCATATGTCAAATTGTTGTTTCCTAACAAAATGAAACTTTATCTCTGAGTTTCAGTAATAACTGGCATTGTTCTCGTCTTGAACATTTTAATTAAAAGAGTATTTCTCTCTTTTTAAAATCATTTTATTGGGGGCTTGTATAGCTCTTATCACAATCCATCCATCCATCCATCCATCCATCCATCCATCCATCCATCCATCCATTGTGTCAAGCACATTTGTACAAATGTGGCCATCATCATTTCCAAAACATTTTCTTTCTACTTGAGCCCTTGGTATAAGCTCATTTTTTCCCCTCTCTCATGAACCCTTGATAATTTATAAATTATTTTTTTTTTCATGACATATATTCTCTTAAATAAAAATATGTTTATTTACAATTCACACAGTTGATGTCCCTTAAATTGGCTATCATGCAATTTATTTAAAAAATTTAAAATGGTGCTTTAGGTCAAGCTACACAGTGAATCCATTTCTCACTTGATAGCTTGTTCACAACATGTTTGGTATTGCATACCGTGTAACTTAAGTCACATATCACATGGGAAAATAGCATTGCTACTGACTTATTAATTTAGCTGTAGTTACTGTATGTGACATTGCTCTTGCTTATCAACAGAAAAGCACCGCGTCCCTACAGAAGCAAATATTTGGATTTACGCAAAGGCTCCATGCAGCTGAAGTGGAACGCCGCTCCCTGCGTTTAGAGGTGACTGAATTCAAACGAAATATGAATGAGATGAAAAAGGAACTAGACAAATCCCAGAATCTCCAAGTACAGTTAAACGAATTTAAACAATCAGTAAGTGTATTTGACTTATGAAAATATTGCATGGGTGGGCTCTTCCCTCATGCGTCTGTGGGTATATGTATGTTGAAATATGTACTATAGAATAAATATCTGTGTGTGTATATACACATTTTGCTCGGATCTACAACCAATGCTCATGGAAGCAACAGTCAGGAGAGCAAATGATCTAGTGCGTTGGGGGAGATTTCCTGCACAAGACCCTCTAATGCCTCAGCGAGCAAAGATGGCATGTTGAGGACGAGGGTGCCCAGACGCAAGCCCTTGCCCTTTCAGCCCCTCACTGGTGTGTGAGAGCCGGGCAATGGATGAAGACGACCGAGCAGAATGATGCGCGCGAACTGAGGTGTTGGAGCAGAATGCTGAGCGTACCATGGGCTGCCAGAAGAACCAGCAAAGCTGTCTTGAAAGAAGTATAGCCAGAGAGCCCCTTACAAGCAAGGAGGGCAAGATTGCCTCTCACATACTTCGGACGTTTTGTCACGAAGCTAGCGCCTTCAGAAGGACGTCGGTGAAAAAGAAGACGAGCCTCAATGCGATGGAGTGGCACAGTGGCTGCAGCAGTGGGCTCCAACAGTGACAGTTGTGAGGGTGGTGCAGGACTGGGGCGGGTTTCGTTGTGTGCAGAGGGTCCGAGAATCAGAGCTGACTGCACTGCACACGCGCGCACTTGAGAGGACTTCAAGAAGTTCGTGGGAAAGCCCATTATCTTTTAACTTCATGAACTTGTGGAAGCCTCCGAGTATCTCTTTTTCTTCCTTAGCTTTTAATTATCCGTAATTTTTCAAAGTCCTTTAAGGAAGAGCTCTTCTTTATTCAGAATGCTCTTCTTGTGCAATGTTTCCAGTTAAAGATTCTGGTGTTTGGAGTTGCATGGTCTTTGTATGCACTATTTTAAAAAATAGAAAATAACTGAAAAAAGAAAGGCTGCATGTTAGTGGTACTTTCAATATTCTTCACCAGCACCATGAATCAAATGTATCGATTCCGCGGAGGTTCTCAGTCTGTGGGTGGTGACCCCTCTGGGGGGTTGAACAACCCTTTCACAGGGGTTGCCCAATTCATAACCGTAGCAAAATTATAGTTATAAAGTAGCAATGAAAATAATTTTATGTTGGGCGGGGCACTACAACATGAAGAACTGTATTAAAGGGTCACCGTATTAGGAAGCTTGAGAACCACTGTTCTATGGTCTTCCTTATTCAGTGTCCAACTTTCACATGCATCTCAGGCAATTGAAAATACTATGGCTTAGAAAATACTATGGCTTAGTAGAACTAAGGTGCACCTTGGTTCTCAAAGTAACATCTTTGCTTTTCAATACTCTAAAGAGGGCTTGTGCAGCAGATTTACCTAATGTAACACGTCTTTTGACCCTTGACTGCTGCTTCCAAAAGCATTGATTGTGGATCAAGCAAGACAAAAATCCTTGACAACTTCAACCATTCGCTGTTTACCATGATGTTACCTCTTGGCTAATTGCGAGGATTCTGGTCTTTACATTGAGTTGTAACCCATACTGAAGGCTATATGCCTTCATTTCATCAGCAAGTGCTTCAATTCCTCCTCACTTTCAGCAAGCAAGGTTGTGTCATCTACATTTCTCAGGCTGTTAATAAGCCTTCCTCCAGTCCTGATGCCACAATCAATATAACTCAGCTTCTTTCATTATTTTCTCAGTATATAGATTGAATAAGTATAGTGAGAGGTTACAACCCTTATGCACACCTTTCCTGATTTTAAACCATGCAGTATTCCCTTGTTCCATTCACACAACTGCCTTATGATCCATTTACAGGTTTCCCATGAGCATAACAAAGTGTTCTGGAATTTCCATTCTTCTCAAGATTATCCATAGTTTGTTATGATTCACACAGTCAAATCCTTTGACATAGTCAATAAAACACAAGGAAACTTTTTTTGATGTTCTCAGTCAAGATCCATCTGACATCAGCAATAATATCCCTTGTTCCGTGTCCTGTTCAGAATCTGGTCTGAACCTCTGTCAATGTACAACTGCAACTGTTGTTAAATGATCTTCGGCAAAATTTTACTTTCATGTGCTATCAATGATATATATTGCTCTATAGTTTAAGCATTCTGTTGGGTCACCTTTCTTTGGAATGGGTGCAAATATGAATCTCTTCTAGTGAGTTGGCCACATAGTTTTCTTACAGATTTCCTGGCATGGATGAGTAAGTGGTTCCAGTAATTTATGTGCTTGTGGAAACATTTCAATCGGTATTCCATCAATTTCTGGAGCCTTGTTTTTGGCTAATGCTTTCAGTACAGCTTGAACTTCTTATTTCAGACTAGTTCTATTTGGTATAGTGCCTCTGTGTATTCTTTCCATCTTCTTTTGATACTTTCTTAATCATTTAATATTTTGCCCATAGAATCTTTCAATATTGGGGCTCCAGTCTTGAGTGTCTTCTTGAGTTCTTCCAGTTAGGGCACATCGAGGGTATGCTTCCATTTTGGTTTTCTAACTCTGAGTCTTTGCACATTTCATGATAATATTTTTCTTAAATGGAAAGTACCATAAGCATTTTCCTATACCAATTATAAAAAATATTTTAGATTGACAAATAATATTCTACCATATAGATTAGCAACATTTATTTGATTGATTTCCTATTCATAGACATTTAATTTCCAGTTTTTTTCCCTTTTATAATTAAATTTTAAAAAGGTGTTTATCGAAACAGAACAAAATAAAACAAAAAAAAGGTGTTTATCCTTTTAAAAGTCAGTTCCTCCAAGTCTGGTTCTATCTCCTTTTGACCTGCATCCTGTCAAACAAATTACATATGGGGTTTGAGGTCATCTGTCAAGATTGATAGAGACAGCCATTGATCCAGTTGTTGTTTTTTTTTGATCCAGTTTTAAGACTTAGAATTTTTTTTTTTGAGATTTAGAATTTAGTCATCTTGTAAATGGAGGTTTAGATGTTAGCCGCCCCCCCCCTTGGTTTTATTTATTTATTTATCATTTTATTTGGGGGCTCTCATAAATCTAGTAACAGTTCATCATTCAATGGTATTAAGTATACTTGTACATATGTTGCCATCAACATTTCCAAAATAATTTTTTCTACTTGAGCCCTTGGTATCAGTGCCTCTTTTTTCACCTCCCTCCCTGACCCGCCTACCCTCGTGAGACCTTGATCAATTATATATTATTACTGTTCTTTTGTGTTTTACAATGTCTGTTGTCTCCCTTCACCCACTTTCCTGTTATTCATCCCCCTACTTTTTTGAAAATTAGAAGATTCTTTATACTTATGCAGGTCGCTTCCTGGAATATCTTTGAGGAATTTTAAGTATTCTAGAAAATTTGATTTCCTAGTACACAGTTTTTAGGTATTAGGAAAACAAGTTATCATCTTATTTTCCATTAGTTTGAAAGTAGTCATGACTTGTTTTCTAGAATCTACAGAGAAGGGTCTGAAAGGAAGCTCTGAAAGGACATGGAAAGAAGAGTGTTCTCAGGGCTTTGATGGAAGGCTGGCTCGAAGTCAAGCTGAGAGTACCAGTATATGTATTTCAGGAAATGTTTAGTGTGAATCACTTCCACTGAAGTGTAGAAGTAAAAATAGGATTAGTGGAACTAATAAATGAGGGAAAGAGGTATGTAGTTTTAATGTTTTCTCATGATTCTAAATTATAATGACAGTGATGTATCTAGCATTTACTGACCATACTGACCATGTGTCAGGCACTGACCCTTAGAACTTTACAGACTTCTTATCATCCTTACTTAATAGATGAGGAATCTGAGGCACAGAGCAGCGAAGTAACTTGCCCAGAGTACCTGGTTAGTAGGTGGACATGACAGAGTATGAACTGAGGTGATATGGCTTCAAAATCCACAATTTAAATAACTTCACTGTAGTAGTAGTGTTTCTAATTAGTTTCATTAATAGAAAATTACTGATAATAGTCAATATTTGCTTTAAAACATTGGGTAGTCTGCCTAAAACCATTACTTTGTCGCCAATTTCAGAAAAGGATACATTTAGTGCAGTGGATTAAGCAATGGGCTGCTAACCTGAAGGTCAGCCGGACAAACCCACCAGCCGCTCAGCAGGAGAAAGATGAGGCTGTCAGCTCCTACAAAGGTTCACAGTCGTAGAAACCCTAAGGAGCAGTTCTACTCTGTCCTGCAGGGTCACTGTGAGTCAGAATCGATTTGATGGGAGTGGGTTTGATTTCAGGTTTTTATGTAGTGGAAAATATAACCGTTTCTTTATAGTTGGTTTAAAATTACAACGTAAAAGGAAACGTCTTGCCAGATAAAAGTTACTCGGTTCTTTTATCGCTCTGGAATACCATGTTCGTCTACTGGACAGCTGTTCTTTAACAGCCAACCTCTGTATCATAATGGTTTATTAGCTCCTCGTAAATGCTTTCACATATTGTCTCTTTCTCATTCCATATCAATACTGTATTCTAACATTAGCTACATTTTCAGGCAAAGGAGAATTTTTGGAGGAGTGGGAAGGGCACATAGATTCTGTTAAAATCAAGGAAGTTCCACAACATGGTGGGGAAATCCTCTCTGATTGGGGTTGTGTGGACTGCAGAGAGTGGAATGATCTGGTGGGAATGGATGGCTATTATACAAGCCCACAAAAAATACAACAGAGACACAGGAGAATAGTCTGGTGTCAGGAAATAGAGGGCTGTTACGATGTAGAAGTGCAGCTTGAGTTCTACAAGGGGAGGGCTGGTTTCTCATAGCCATTGTCTAGAGAGAGGCTGCTATTCCGAAGGCGCACAAAGGGAGGGCACGGTACAGTCTAAATATTCCACAAGGATCAGCGAAGTATGAGCTAGATCTCCGTGAGGTGATGCTCAGGAAATCACACGTGTGCCTTGGGATCATTCTCATTACTTTATATTAAGGCAATCATTAGGCTCTATTGTTATGCTATCCTGTTATCTTTTAAAATTCCACCAGTGTTGAGAAATGCATGATAAATACTCTTGAAAAAACAAACAATAGTGAAAAAAAGCAAAGACTTCAAGGAGGTAGCAGGCAAGGTATTGGATGCCAAAATAAATGGAGACCATAGTATCCAAACTACAGAAAGACCCGTGCAATGAGTTTGTCCTCCAACTGATTGCAGCCCTCATTTCCTCTCTGAGAGATTCTGCGTGCTTGCTATTCCTGGCCTGGAAGAAACTCCAATTCAGTACATTTGTATTTTCATCTCATTTTTCAGAAGGCTCAGACATAAATTCTACATTCAGCTGCAGTAATTTACGCATTCTGAGAATGTGATGCCTAGAACCAGTGGGATTTTTATCCTACTCTTTCGTCATCTAGTCTTTAAGCATTTTTGATCAACTTACCCTTGTGGTTAATTTCATTGATCCACCTCCAGTTCTTTGTAGACATGGAGGTGTCATGAGATGAACTTGCACTTAGCATGGCTGCGTGGTTATCCTTCAGCGTTCCACAGGCACCGCTCAGGTCACTTCTGTTTTGTAAACCATTCCCCTCTTTCTCCTTCAAGGCATCGCTCATGGCTTGTTGTAATTATTTTTCATTCATTTGAACGTTTTGAACAGGAGTGATACAAATGTGTGTTGCTTGGGTTCCACAGTCCTCAGAGGCCGGCCCCCATCTTCAATTGGTGTGAGTTTCTCCAGAACAGAGTGTTCTTGTTTCCAAAGCAGTCATCAGATTGAAAAGCAAGTATTGCTTATCTTGTTGACAGTGTTAGAGGCAGACTCCATGTATGAAGTCTGTTACTCCAATATATATTGAAAACCAACTGAATTCAAGGTTCCCTTCTCGGTGTGGGGTAAACCAGCTCAATGAGATCTCTGCTCAGTGGCAAGCCCATCCTTATATGTGAGTAGTTATGGGAGAGCAGAGAATGTCAAGGAAAATGTGAAAAACGATATGAGGTTAGTATAGGTAATTATAATGACTAGAAAAAAATAAAGCATTGATGGTGTGGATGGTGGTGGGATTGTGGAAGATGGAGCTCTTTCAAGAAAAACAAATTATGGGTGTGTATCTTATTTTCATACAGTAATTCATAAAAATAGAGGTATTGACCTATGTACATATATTTATATGGCAATACACTGAGGTTGTAGATGGACTTTGGGCCCCTGGTCATGCCCTCCCTCAATGCAAGAACACTTTGTTCTAACAACCTGGCATTCCATGATGCT